ATATTTCAGATACTCAGTTTCCTTGACATAGATCAGACTACTTTGAGTCGAACAGTTTTACATTCTTCAAGTTTTTTTCGATTTCGATTAATGTCGAGTGACCTGGTATTAATAGAATGAAGAGTTTACCTCTTGCAGCCCATTCTTATTGACCAGGGAAAACTATTAAAATAGTAAATTGTTGAGAGGATAGTGGAAGTAGTTTTAAACTTGTCTTTAGCAATCAACTTATCACTATCATCGACTTCTAAGAACTTAAGCATAATAAACTTATTTACTTTTAACTAAAACTTTCAATAATAACTCTTTTATCATTATTATTAAACTAATTTGTAAATTCTTTTTCAGTTTTATCTATTTGTTAAACAAAATTTGAAATCAATTTAATAACAATATAAGGATGACTTCAATAATTTGATGTTATTTTTTTTTTTTAATATATAATTTCGCCTTGATCAAAAGCTGTATTGTAAAAGGAGCTTCGATAAACTAAAATCTTCCTTAATAACTTTGAAAAATATTTTTTATATATTTTTTTTTTTTTTTTTTTGATTTTTTAAACTATTTTTTTTAAACATTATAATTTGTAACATTATAAACATAACACTTACAGTTTTTACTCGTTCATAACAGAGGGGTAAGTTTTAAAATACCGAATTTTATACTTTTTTTATACTTTTAATAAAGTAGTTGACAATTTTTTTCTTCCAATTAAATAATAACAAAATATAAAACATTTTCCATAAATTCTTGGTTGTGCAAGTTCTTTAAATTGGTCTTTATTTTTTGCAAAAAAAAAAATCTAAATTTAAAATTTTTAACCTACCAAGGGTTTACACTTTACAACATTTTTTCCTCTATCTTTTTAAAATAATTTTTTCCATTATATCTCTTACAATTAATATTTTCCTGTAAACATTTACTGCTCTTTCCAAAATATTGTTAAAAACAAAATAATAGCTTGAAACCAAAATACATTTACCATTAATTATTTCATTACAAATATAATTTCATTATAATCTAATTAGTTTAGTTTTTTCCCCTAATTTATTTAACTATAATTTACAAAACACTTCAAAGAGAAAAAAAGCGTTAAATAAAGGATATTTTGAATTTTGTACTAAAATCTTTAAAAAATTTTATAAATTTTATCAGGACATTGTATCTGAAAAGAAAAATTCTTAATTTTGAGCTGGGTGTTTTATTATATATTTACAGCATTGTTTTTGTATTGATAAAATAAAATAAAAATAAGTTAAAGTAAGTTTTTCAAAACAAAACAACAATTCCACACAAAAACAATTTTTATTTTTCTGAATTATTTTTCATTTTAATTTTTATATTTTATTTGAATTATTTTTAATAAAGTCGAAGCTCTCTCGGACGTGCAGTCTTGAAAAAATAATAAAAATATTAATAATTCCAATGTGTCAATGTGCTTGTTTACTAGTATTATTATTCAATGTATGTGTATAAATGACAAATAATCTACTAATAATTGTTTTATCATTTTCATTTTATTTAATTAAGTTAAATAATAATCAAATGTAATTTGTTTATTTGTGTTTGTGATTATTTATTTATTTGTTTTTATTTGTTTAATCCTAAAATTAATGTTGTCATTGTTGTTGTACTAACTGAAAAGAGATTTAAGTAATTTAACGCTGATGTGTAGAACTGAATGGGATGAACCCTTGACTTCATATTTAAGATGGTTAAATGTCAGCAGCACAAATAACGATAATTATCTAGATTGTCGTGTTATTTGACATTTTACTAAATGCTTTGATAAAGTTGAAGAATTAATAGGACTTAAGAGTTAAGTCCTCTGAAACATGAAATTAACTTTAACTTCGAAGAAATTAAATTTTTTTGGGAATATTTATAGATTCTGTAGTTCTCATTAATTTTTTATGGGACCAAACATTTGTAGAACTGAACTAGAACTGAACTAGAACTGAACTAGAACTGAACTAGAACTGAACTAGAACTGAACTAGAACTGAACTAGAACTGAACTAGAACTGAACTAGAACTGAACTAGAACTGAACTAGAACTGAACTAGAACTGAACTAGAACTGAACTAGAACTGAACTAGAACTGAACTGAACTAGAACTGAACTAGAACTGAACTAGCTGAACTAGAACTGAACTAGAACTGAACTAGAACTGAACTAGAACTGAACTAGAACTGAACTAGAACTGAACTAGAACTGAACTAGAACTGAACTAGAACTGAACTAGAACTGAACTAGAACTGAACTAGAACTGAACTAGAACTGAACTAGAACTGAACTAGAACTGAACTAGAACTGAACTAGAACTGAACTAGAACTGAACTAGAACTGAACTAGAACTGAACTAGAACTGAACTAGAACTGAACTAGAACTGAACTAGAACTGAACTAGAACTGAACTAGAACTGAACTAGAACTGAACTAGACTGAACTAGAACTGAACTAGAACTGAACTAGAACTGAACTAGAACTGAACTAGAACTGAACTAGAACTGAACTAGAACTGAACTAGAACTGAACTAGAACTGAACTAGAACTGAACTAGAAACTGAACTAGAACTGACTAGAACTGAAACTAGAACTAGACTGAACTAGAACTGAACTAGAAACTGAACTAGAACTGAACTAGAACTGAACTAGAACTGAACTAGAACTGAACTAGAACTGAACTAGAACTGAAACTAGAACTGAACTAGAACTGAACTAGAACTGAACTAGAACTGAACTAGAACTGACTAGAACTGAACTAGAACTGAACTAGAACTGAACTAGAACTGAACTAGAACTGAACTAGAACTGACTAGAACTGAACTAGAACTGAACTAGAAACTGAACTAGAACTGAACTAGAACTGAACTAGAACTGAACTAGAACTGAACTAGAACTGAACTAGAACTGAACTAGAACTGAACTAGAACTGAACTAGAACTGAACTAGAACTGAACTAGAACTGAACTAGAACTGAACTAGAACTGAACTAGAACTGAACTAGAACTGAACTAGAACTGAACTAGAACTGAACTAGAACTGAACTAGAACTGAACTAGAACTGAACTAGAACTGAACTAGAACTGAACTAGAACTGAACTAGAACTGAACTAGAACTGAACTAGAACTGAACTAGAACTGAACTAGAACTGAACTAGAACTGAACTAGAACTGAACTAGAACTGAACTAGAACTGAACACTGACTAGAACTGAACTAGAACTGAACTAGAACTGAAATAGAACTGAACTAGACCTTGAACTAGAACTGAACTAGAACTGAACTAGAACTGAACTAGAACGAACTAGAACTGAACTAGAACTGAACTAGAACTGAACTTAGAACTGAACTAGAACTGAACTAGAACTGAACTAGAACTGAACTAGAACTGAACTAGAACTGAACTAGAACTGAACTAGAACTGAACTAGAACTGAACTAGAACTGAACTAGAACTAACTAGAACTGAACTAACTGAACTAGAACTGAACTAGAACTGGAACTAGAACTGACTAGAACTGAACTAGAACTGAACTAGAACTGAACTAGAACTGAACTAGAACTGAACTAGAACTGAACTCGAAAACTGAACTAGAACTGAACTAGAACTGAACTAGAACTGAACTAGAACTGAACTGACTGAACTGAACTAGAACTGAACTAGAACTGAACTAGAACTGAACTAGAACTGAACTAGAACTGAACTAGAACTGAACTAGAACTGAACTAGAACTGAACTAGAACTGAACTAGAACTGAACTAGAACTGAACTAGAACTGAACTAGAACTGAACTAGAACTGAACTAGAACTGAACTAGAACTGAACTAGAACTGAACTAGAACTGAACTAGAACTGAACTAGAACTGAACTAGAACTGAACTAGAACTGAACTAGAACTGAACTAGAACTGAACTAGAACTGAACTAGAACTGAACTAGAACTGAACTAGAACTGAACTAGAACTGAACTAGAACTGAACTAGAACTGAACTAGAACTGAACTAGAACTGAACTAGAACTGAACTAGAACTGAACTAGAACTGAACTAGAACTGAACTAGAACTGAACTAGAACTGAACTAGAACTGAACTAGAACTGAACTAGAACTGAACTAGAACTGAACTAGAACTGAACTAGAACTGAACTAGAACTGAACTAGAACTGAACTAGAACTGAACTAGAACTGAACTAGAACTGAACTAGAACTGAACTAGAACTGAACTAGATTGAACTAGAACTGAACTAGAATTGAACTAGAACTGAACTAGAACTTATATAGAATTAAACAGTAAAATGGATTTAAATTCTTCTATAATTCCTAATAGGACATAGTTGGGCTGAAATATGGAGAAATGAACTGGCTTAAACTTAAAAAGTTGAAAGCTTATGGACTAGTCTGGGGAGTAGTGCATGGGTTAGACCATGGGTTAGTCTATTGAATAGAAGACAATTTTAGTTAAATTCTCAAAAACAAACAATAATCTCTAAAAAAATTTTAGCACTTGGAAAAATCTAAGTTCGCCTGTAGCATTAGAAAATCTAACGGAATTAAATATTAATCTAGCAATTATAAAAGCAAAATTATGTAACAAGCAAAATCTATAAAAAATCTATAAGCTTTTAAATGTCTTTAATTTTTTGTGTTTTTTTTTTTTTTAAATTTAACGTAACAAAGTACAAAGATTTTGTGTGTTTATATAATAATAAAATAAAAAACAATTAGCAAATTTTAGTATAATTCGCACACAGCCAAAAGAAAAATTGTAAAATATTGTATAATTAAATGTATGTATTTTACAATTTTAAAATAATTAAAAACAATATGGTTGTAGTTTCAATGTAACAAATAAATGTTTTCAAATATATTTATAAAATAAAATACAATATAATTTGTGTTTATTTATGTCTCAATTTTGAAATAAAATATTTTTTATTAATTAATTTATTTACTTTCTTTTTCTTCCCATTTTTTTTTTTAACTATTTTCATAAATTTAGGAAAAGCTTGGCGATATTTGTTTCTCATTACGTTATGTACCGACCGCTGGCAAATTAACCGTTGTCATATTGGAAGCTAAAAACTTGAAAAAGATGGACGTTGGTGGATTGTCTGGTAATAAAATTGGAAACCGAAATATTGTGAAATTTCTTTATATACTATAATTTTTTTTTGCAATGTTTTGTGTTGTCAATAATAAGTAAATAATTGTTTGGTTTATTTTATATTTAATTATTTATTAATTTATGGTAAATGTTTCAATTTATTTACTCTGATAAATGTCGTATTTTTGTTATTTATTTAATTTTTTTTATGATTAATTTGTATATAATTTATTATATCCAATATTATTTTGAAACGCGATCGGTTCGTTTCATGTGTAATTAATTAATTTCAGTATCGCTATAAACATTTTCATCTTAATATGCGTTTTCGTTTAGAAACATTTAATCGTAAAATTCATGTAATTAGAATTTTTAAATTTCTACTAATTTGGTTTAACTATATATGTGTCCTCAATGAGACACTTAGAAGTGACTTCTTAGGGACAACTAACTGTACTATATTTCGCTCTTCGGTACTTCGTTGCTATGTGTTAAATAGATCTACACATGATCGTAAATAACAATGAGTGATCGCGTGAGCATCAATTCGTAATATATCTATAGATATATCATATCGCAGTAATCAGTTGGAAGTATTTTCCATTCATTAAAGCGATCAAATTGTTCGCTTATTTAATAGCCAAGACATTACTATTTCGATCTTCCGTCTGGAAGAACTATTTGTAGTTTAAGACACCTCTATGAGACACTTGAAAGACAACCAACAGTTCAATATTTCTCTCTTCCTTCCTTTTTATGTTCAATTATGTGTTCAATAGATCTACAAGCGATCGTTAATGATAACGCGTAATCGTGTGATCATCAAAATATTTCATATCGCATTGATCAGTCGACAGTATTTTTCACTCATTAAGGCGATCAAATTGTTCTTAAAATTTAATATCCAAAATATAATTTAACTGATCTTCTGTGGTGAGAACAGTTTCTAGTGAAAACGTTCTCTATGAGACACTTCGAAATGACTGCTAAAGTCTCCCAAATGTTTTCTAGGTGTGTACAATCTTCCAACTGTCATCCAGAAGTGACTTAAACGTAAACAACAAGATGATAAGTATGTCGAAGCAATGTACTTTGTTTTTGTAAAATGTATAGTCTCTTTTAACTATCATCCTGAAGTGGTTTGAAAGTATACTTCCTTCGGAATTTTTAAAATTGTATATTAATCTTTAAATTGTCATACAGAAGTGACTTAAAAGTATACTTCTACACAGAGGGAAAAGGAAATGTATATATACTTTGACAACGGATGTTATTGAAATGTATGTTTATACTTTGACAACGGATGTTATTGAAAAATTATAAACAGTTTGGTGTCAATTTGGTACTAGGCGGTTATATTACTCTTTCCCTCTGTGTAGAAGATCAAAATTATTTGAAAAGTTTTATGTTATTGGAAAACGTGTACTCTACACCCTCAACCCCTATTATAATGGTTAAGAAGTGGCGATTGCCAGAGGTCGCAATAGTTTTGTCTAACTGCAGTTTAATAAGCTTTTTTATAATAATTAAAAAAACGATTAAAACAATAATATTGGGTATTTTATTAAAAACAGCTTTACATCTATTATGGCTTTTCTTTATAACTTTTGTATTTTTATGCTAAAAAAAATTATACTTTTTTTAACTTAAATTTTATTTTAATTTATATCTCTTAAAAAATTTTTCTTTAAATACAAAAAAAAAACATTTTTGAATCTTAACTTTTATAATATTAATAATTAAAAAAAAATAAAACAAAATAATAAAGCTTTTAAATGATGCTAATGATGATTAAACTTGAATCATACAACAAGCTAATTTATTAAATATCTTTCTTAACTAAAGCCTAAGATTTTTTATACTATTTTTACATATTTTTTCATTAAAACAAAAAAAAATCAAATCAAATGATAGATATTTTTTGAGGGCAACTCTCAAGTGTTATGTGTTATATTTTTTTGTTTCGAAATAAACAACATTTTCATTTTAAGTTTGAATGTATATAAAATATTTAATATTTTGCTTGCAAATAATACTTTGTTATAGACAAAGTAGCCAGTAGCTTTTTATTGCTTGTTATTTACATTTTCAGTTAGAAGTTTTAAATCATACAGACATTTTCAGTTATTTTCTTTAACACATTTTGTCTCTTCCCCCCACACGAGAGTTGCCTCAAAAAATATCGCCCTATAAATAAGTTCTTCTAGGCTTTTACAAACAAAACAATCAAACGAAAAAAAGAAATAATTGCAACAAATATTTTTAATATATTTGTTATGAAATGAACATAAAAAAAACTTATATTCCCGTTTAAATATTTTGGTTTAAAGTGTGATTTTTATTTTTTATAGTTTTTTTTGTACTCCTTAATTTGAGTTATAAATTTACTATTATTACTATCCATATAATCGAAAAAAAATATATAAAAAAAAGTTCAATGTTTATATTTTAAACGTATTTAACTTACAAGAAAAAAAATTATTATATAAAAATAACCAATTTGTTTAAAAAAGAAAAAAAATAAGTGTTACAAGAAAAGATATGAAAAAAATATGGAGAATTTTATTATTTATTATTCTTCTTCTTTCTTTTTTATTTATTTCTATTTCTTTTATAGATCCATATGTGAAAATTGCCATTATGCAAAATGGAAAACGTTTGAAAAAGAAGAAGACAAGTATCAAAAAATGCACCCTCAACCCCTATTATAATGAGTCGTTCTCATTTGAAGTACCATTTGAACAAATACAAGTATGCGAGAATGTATTATACTATCCTATTTACCAAAAAAAAAAATACAAAAACAAAAAGAATAATACTATCTACTACTACTACTAACCTACAAACTACTATTACTAGCAACGACACTACTACTACTACGCCCTTTTACTTTTGTTACGTTAACGTTATTACTACTAACTACTACTTTTTACTACTTACTAAAGGACTTTTTCAATCCCCCCCTCTGTCTCTCACTTTTATTACACACAATTTGTTATTGTTGTCTTTGTTTAGACTCCAGTGTTTTTTTATATATCTTTATATATATATTATTATCTGACCGACTTTTCTATGTACTCTTATCCAATATAAAATATATAATTTTGAATGTGGAAGTTGAGACTTAATAATCTATTCAAGAAACCTATTTTTTATCATTGATCCACAAGACAAATTCAAATTCCTTTAATTGATGTTTAAATGTTGTGTTTTATCAATGAAATTATGAAAAAAATATGAATATTTTATTTGTATATGTATTTGTTTATAATTGTTTATATTTTGTTTAAATATTTCAGTAATGTGTGTTGAATAAGGCCAAATGTAATATTTTAAAAAAAGTTAAAAATAGATTTTATGATAAATTATGAGTCTTAAAGCATGTTTAAGAACTTTAAACGTCAAATATTTAGAAAACTAGAAAATTTTTTATATTTGGTAGGCCCTCTGGCTACCTCGATCTCTTTACTAGTTTGAGAAGGTTTTTTATATAGACAAGGAGTATTTCGACAGCAGTTCGTGATTTAATGAGGCGCAATATGAATGAACCGTTTAATCACGACTTGATAAAAATCTCTGAATGGGGTCGTGTTAACATAGTCGATTTAAAGATTACAATGCGATGTCCGCTGGACTAAACACATTTTTCTTCTTGCTATTTACACCACTTATTTCCGACCGAAAATGGAATACATCTCTCATATACGGGCAGGAGCTTCGAAGCCTATTTTGGAGCTACTCTACTGCGTACAGGAGAAGACGATGGTACTTATCGGTGTCAGTAGGGTATCCGACTGTATTGATTTACTGGAACACCGTCGCAACGTGGGGTGTATTTCACTATTCTATTGATACTACAATGGAATGTGTTAATCTGAAATTAGGGATCTTGTTCCCGATACCCGTATATTTTTGCGTAACTTACGTCTTTCTTCATGAACACACCCATTTGTGTTAGATTGGCCAGTGGACAACATAACACACTACAGGGAAAATTCATTCTTCAGTCGCACTGTTCCTGCAGAAGTATTCCCGGCCACTTTCGATATAAAAGAATTTAAATCAAATGTCCACAAACACTAATCCATCTATCTTTCTTCCCACAACCTATTTTCCTAGTTCCAACACAATGCTTCGCATAAGTAGCGATCACAGCAAGTATTAGCGTGATTAACAATTCGTATTATCCCAGACAGTCAGTCCACCCGATAAGGCGATCAAATTATTCTTGCATTTAATAGTCGAAATACTATTACTCTGATCTCCTGTCGGGAGAACTATTTTTCGCGGAAGCCACCTCGAAGTTTTTTAAACATTTACAATCTTCCAACTGTCATTCAGAAGATACTAAGTTCTACAAACAAGATAATTAAAATAACCGAAATGTTATTATTCTGATCTTTTAGCGGGAGAACTATTTCTCGTGAAACCGTCCTCTATGAGACACCACGAAGTATCTGCTAAAAGATTTCTAACAGTTTTCTAAATATGTACAATCTTCCAACTGTCATCCAGAAGTTACTAAGTTGTGCCCAACATTCTGATCTTTCGTCGGGAGACCAGTCCGAAATATCTTCCACCCGATAAGGCGATTAAATTGTTCATGCATTTAATAGCCGGTGTATTATTTTTCTGATCTTCTGTCAGGAGAATTATTTTTCGTGGAAGCGTCCTCTATTAGACATCTCTAAGTGTCTGCTAAAACACATTCAACAGTTTTCTAAATATTTACAATCCCGATGTCAATCCCCAACTGTCATTCAGAAGTTACTAAGTTACGCACAACAAGATGATTAAAATAACCGTAATATTGTTACTCTGAACTATTTTTCGTGAAACCGTCTTCTATGGGACACCTCTATGTGCAATCTTCCAACTATCATCCAGATATTATTAAGTTGTTCACAACAAAATTATTTAAATAACCGAAATATTATTATTCTGATCTTCTGAAGGTGGACATTTTTCCATTGGGTCCGACCCCTATGAACCATCTTGAAGTGACTACTAAAAGACACCCAACAGTTTTCTTAATATTTACTATCTTCCAAATGTCATCCTGAAGTGTCTAAATTGTACAAAACAAGATGATGAAAATCCGAATGAACATAAATGTTACAAAAGATAAATGGAAATTGAGAAGAAATATCATCCAGAAGTGGATTAAACGTCTAAATGTGCAATCTTCCAACTACCATCCGTTAGTGACTAAATCATACCTATGAGTCAGAAATGTAACTAATGTCTGACTTTAACTTAATTTAGGTCTCCGTGCAAAGAGTTCAGTTGCAGTTATTTTTGGGTTCCATTAAAAATAGTATCTTCTGATTCTTTCGCCAGAAGGGTGGAAATAGGTAGAATAACCTTGACACATACAGAGTGGCCACTGTAATGTGGAACTTTTTCGATGAAAAACGCACTAAGCCTTAATAGTGGGGGTATATCCATAACAGATGAATTGATCTTCCATCTTACCTTCGAATGCCCTGTCCTAGTCGCCAATAGAAATTGATTCCTTTGTAACTACAATAACACCTTATTGAATTATCTGAGTCTAGACTTAAAGACCTACTGAGGCATCTTACAGCTGCAGGTTGGATCTAGTACTAATATATATAGTAATTCTCAGATTCTTTCTTCAAAACACTGTACGCAACTTATAAGCTGTAATAGTCGGGTAATTCGAAAAGCATGAAAGGGTCTTTCACCCTAGTCACCAGGAGAAGTTGATTTCTTTGTAATTACACTATATCCAACCTTGATGAGTTATCTGTGTTTAGACTAAAATAGCTATTGTGGAATAGCGTCTTAAATCTATACAACCAAAAGATGAAAATTACTTCGCTAGGTCTTTTGTTATTGTAAAATCTGTAACCTCAACTAACTATCACCTATAAATGATTAAGAACTTTATAAATGATTAAGAACTTCGATTCATTTGATCAACTTGAAACAAACTTGAATTTAAAAGAAAGAAATTACTTTTTTATGGTTTTTATAAAAAAAAAAATCCTCTACACAAACATTTGGTAATATTTTCAACACACAATACTACTTTTAATGAATTCCGTTTTAATTTCGTTTGATAACAATATGAAATACTGTAAATTTGTGTAAACAACTATTCAGTTTTAAATGTTTTAATTTAATTATAACAATTACACGTTGTGTTTTTTTGTGTTTGAATAAAACAAATTATTAAAGTAGTTACAAACAAAATATTGATTGATGTGCTTTTATGTTTAACAAACTTTTGTGTTTATTATTTGCAAAATTTTCAACAAAAAAAGAAAAACAATTGAATAAAGCAAAGGTTTTTTTATGATTTATATAAATATACTTCAAAACTTAGTTTGCAGTTACAAAAAAAAAAAAAAACAAAATTTAAAAATTACAAAAATAGTATAAAATACAATTTAAACCTGCCCCCGCAATAAATAATTAAAGCATTATTAATATTGTATTGTAGTAAATGAAAAAACACTACACCATTTAGTTTGTACAAACAAAGAAACCAAAAAATAAAAACTAACGAATTCAACAAATTTTGCTTTAAAATGCAACACTATTTTAAGCAACACACTGAATAAAAATTCAACCAACTATTACAAACTCCTTTAACCAACAACAATTACAACAAATAAACACTTAACATGCAATTAACACTCGTTTACTTAGTTTTGAAGTTACTCAAAAGAAACCAAAAAAAACACAAATTTAATAAAGAGTAATAAAATACTTCAGAAATAATTTAACGAGGCAAATTAGTAAGACCTTTTTTGGTCTTTTGGACCAGGAAAGCTTGCTACAGCGTCTTGAAATTAACAAGCCCTAGGGTTCGTTGTTTTGACACTGTCTTCTGATTTGATACTTATAAAAAAAAACATGCAACAAAAACAACACCAAATTCCAAAGAAATAAAAATAAAAACGCAAAAGAAGAAAAACACAACAATGAAACGTAACACCTTCACCAATATTTGAAACGTTCCGAACCCTGTCAAGTTTGTAAGGAATGGTGATTTTGGAAAAGTCTTTATACTATTATACAGTTACTATAAACCTTATATAAATAGTAGGCTTTGAACCTGTTTTAACCTTTTAGGGCATAGAAAAACAAAACAATTTAAATTGAAATTTAGGATTGAATATTATACATTTTCGTTTACCAGTATTTAATGAACATTATTCTTTTCTTCGCCCCTCCCCCTCTCACAATCCGCCAAAAATAAACAAAGTTATACGTTAAAAACTAAAATTCATTATTAATTAAAATATTTTTCAAAAACTTAAAAAAAAAGAAGTTAAAGAAAATTGTTCATTTTATTGAAAAAAATCTATCTCTATCTCGCTCAAAAATACATAAAATTTATTACTCCTTAACAATTCAAAACATACACACTCAACTCAGCTCATATGTTTCCTTATAAACACTTCAAACACAAACTTATAAACACTATATAAACCTAATAAATCTCATTAGTTGTCAAAACAAAACACAATTTGTATAATCTGCATGTTAAAGTTAATCTTTCCAAATTTTATAACACTTCACTGCTAAAACCTAACACTTGCCACCTTATACATATACACCGTTTTAATACAAGATTCATATTGTCTAGAAAATTAATAAAAAAAATTACCAACCACCACTAATCATTACTCTAAATTATACTCACTTTCACTTAGAGTAAACATTTATTTAATAATTTATCTATTTAATAATAAATACCAATCAACATTATATATAATTATGTAAATGTATGCGGCTGTATTTAAGAAACGCCCTTAAGTAGTTGATTAGCTTTTATTTTTTTTTACATTTTCTTTTAATTTTGATTTTCTTTCACACAGTTTTTTTTTAAATTTCATGCAATTTTTAAGTTATTATTTTCAATAATATCAAGTGTTAATGTTGTAAGTGATACAAGTAAGTTGTGAAGACGTAGGAACTTATTCGTCCATCCTGATATTCTAAAGGACCCTTTAAAAGATCACACTTTACGTACGAAAAGTTTAATGAAGAGTAAAATGAAATTCTATGGCAAAACAGAGAATAAACGATTGGTATAAAACAAAAACAAAGTAAGATGAAAACAGCTGTTTCACTTTTTTGTATATGTTTACATAAAAATACAACCCTGATCTAAAGCGATTTGCTTTTTTTTAATCATTTCAAAAAATTAAGAAAGCCATACGACTGTCAAATGTTCCATCCGTATTTCTCTCAATGTGTGATGGTTTCATTACATATTGCGTTTGGACGATCCCATTCGTACTCTTCTAGACAAAATTTTGACAAATCGTATTACTTGTGTGCTCGTGTAAAGGGGGCTTAAGAGGTTATCGTGCTCGGAAGACATCTTAACATAAAATGAATACAAATGTCGCGAAATATGGCAAGTACTACTTTTATAAAACATTTTTTATTGTGAATTATCGAAGTTAAAGGAATTGCCTAAGAAGTTCCTTAATGATATGCTTGGTCACCACTTTTTTACAGCTACGTTAACTTTTCTAAATCGGGCTTAAAGATAAAACCGTCAGGCGCACTGAATCTTCAATATTTCACAATCCTAGTCTAATATAGCTTTCTTTACATAAAAATCAATGAATGTTCATGTTACGGGGGTAAGCAAAGGGTCTTTAAATCAAAATTCGGGGTAACATCTGATTATAAATAAAGATCTTCAATACAACTCTGGTTTATTTAACCAACATCAAAATACAGGGGTAAACACTGTCATTAAGGCCTAAAATTCGATTTCTAATAGTGTTCATGTTTGCAAAGGTCAATCTATTGAGAATTGTATCTTAGTACAGCTAACGTTATTACCATAATCCAATAACTTAAGTATAAACGCAAGAACGCCTAATAATATGAACATTCTATACGAACAATTTCTCTTTAAGATCTTCAATACTGAGCCGACATAACACTGGCGTTCAGTCCATCCAATTATGTCCAAAAATATTATTTCAGCATGGCACAAAACAATTTTCGTACATAGCAACGAAATACCATGGACAAGCACTATCTAATTTCTGACCTTCGTTGTCCCATTGCGTGTCTTCCGGGATGCAAAAGCATAACTTCCGTTTACGAACACGCAGATAGAAGTGGTATCTGTTAACTTCTTCGGCAAAAGCACCGAATTTCCCTTAATTTGGGTCCAACATCCATCCCTGCTGGTACCGTTTTCCGTTTACATCCACACATATAGAAGGGCCTCTGCTGATTCGGCAATAAAAACGTAATCGGTAGACCATAGTACGAGTCCACAATGTGTTTTCACAGTATTCAACCCTACATACCTCTCATTAATCGGACACATTCATATACATACGTAAAAACACTCGACTTACTCATTCTAGATATACGGCTGAGGTATGTAGGTCCGATTACCTCTAGATTCTTTCGATATATTATGATTTTGAAAACTACTCATTTATCTCTATAGTCACTCCTCTGATTGGTATCTGTTGTCTTTTTCGGCAACAGCAACGAACTTAAACCAAAATTATGTTTACACCCCGAATAAACCTCTCCAATAAAAGTCCAAAACTTTGACCTTCTGGTACCGTTTCCCGTGGTAAGATAGGTTCTATGTTTCAACCACAAGACTAATGATTCCAAGGAATGCGAAGGAGTGAAATGATAACACCTGTTTATAGTCCCGGCAGACTGGAGGTACTAGTAGCTCTTCTTCTTTTAACCCGGGATTGCAATAACACCAAGATGGGGGAAGTTTCTTCTTCTCCATAGGAAGCCAGTTGACTCCTTCAGTAACAACACATAACATCGATTACAAATGGAGAATTGACTACTAAATTACAATGCAAAACAAAATAAAGTTTCATGTGCCTACTTTCTACATTACTTGAGGTTTGTAAAGTGACCATTAACTTGGGTCTTTGCTCTGGATTACAAAGATTACATTAATGATAAATGAATCAGTCAACCAGTTGGTAAAACATTATTGGAAAGTAATGTCATGGCAAATTTCTGGGCATTTAGAAAAGTTTACATTGCCGAACGCACTCTTCGAATAACATTATTGATCTTACTCTCTTCATTCTAACAAAGAAGTACTTCCAATCGAGTATCATCTCAGAATGTTAAAAACGGATTCTATTCAATAAGAATATCGAATCTTTGGCATCCAGCAGATTGTGTGGACAATTCGCACAATCGGTTTAGATTGAGTTCGTCGGGAAAATTTCTCAAGTCCATCACAGGGAAACACCCTTGTAAATTCTCTCACATAGTGTTTTCTTTGGTCTGAGAACGATATCATACGTGTTTACGTTTTAATTAATGTGATTTACTAAATCGTCTTGTTACTATAAAGACTACATTGGGAGAATTGATAGGCGAATTATCATATTGTTTAAAACTATATCACTTTTAAAACACTTGATATTTCTCATTACACATTTCAATTTTAATATTGTTTTTATTTAAACCAATATATATTTTAATTTTCCTAAGTGTTATTATATAAAAAAAAAACTTGGCACCAAATCCCGAGTATGTATGTACATAAATATATATTTATTTACTTCTATATATATATTTATTTTTTTAAACACCACAGAGGAATTAGAAATACTTAACCTTCAATAAATAACTTTATATATAAATGTAACTATATTCAACAGACAACTCTTCAATATATATATATAAAACCAGAACCACTACAACACTCTTAAACCAGTGAAATAAACGTTCAACAGAAATCAAATCTACAACAGAAATATATAAAAAAAAATACTGATTTATATTATTTTGCTAAACTAATCCATAAACTTTGATAACTAACATTTTGCTCTGTATATTTAATTTTTTACAAAAAGAAAATCTGTTTGGTTATCACTGTCGTGGATTATGATCGTATCGGTACTTCTGAGCCCATAGGACGTTGTATACTTGGCTGTATGGCAACCGGCACTGAATTGCGACATTGGTCCGATATGTTGGCCTCACCACGACGACCTATTGCACAGTGGCATACTCTGAAAGATCCCGAGGAAACCGATGAAATTCTTAAAAATATGAAGTAAGAAGTTTTAAATAAACTAAACTAACAACAACAACAAGAACAACAACAGCAAAAACAAACCACACAAATATTCATGGGAAATGCAAAAAAAAAAACAAAGTGGAGCTGAGTAGAGAGAATAAATGAGAAAAAAAATTGATTGATATCATTACTTAAAAAGAGTTAATTATAAAAAGTAAGCAAGATTACATTAAAGACAACAAGAGAAAAGGTTTGTTATTTCACAAATTTTATACGCATAATAATATATATATATATATCAACATTTACACATACATACATACATAAATAAACAACTTACTTTCTTACAATTTAAGGATATCAATCAATTTATTTTTTCATTTCGTTTGTCTCGTTCGTTTCACGACAAAATGTTCAATACAACAAAACAGCAAACTATATAAATCACACATCAAAACCGTCATCAATAAACAACAACAACAAGAACAACAAAACAAAAGAAACAACAAATAGTACCAGCATCTTATAGTAGTTATAATTATTAATAACAAAATAAATTTAAATAAAATATACATTATTTACATAGTCTATGTTACTCATACGTACATACATTTAGCATTACATGACAAAAAACATAAAAAAGTTTAAAAAAAAAGATGGCCACCCTTCATTAAAAAAAAAATAATTAAAACAAAATAACGAAATACAATCAAATATACAAGATACTACAACATACAACAGAAATTATATAAAAAAAATAAAAGAAGAAGAAGAAACTGTAAAATATTTGTACTTATCTATGAGTATTCCAAAAAAAAAAAAAACAAAAAAATAAGTTTGAATATTTTCCAGCCAAGCCGCGAGAATTTACTACATTCACTTTATAATTTGAAAATTTTCTTTTTTTATTTTTTGAAAAAAAAATATATATATAAAAAACCAAACAAATTTCAAAAGACAATATAATATTTTCAGTATACTTTTCATTGAAATATTATTAGCAAAAAAATAAAAATAAAACTTGTCTTAAACGTAAAGTAAAATTTAAAAAAAATATTAACAGCTTTTCCTTTACAGATCTCTCTATATAATTATAAAAGAAAAGACAAAAAAACTATTTTAAACAAAATTTAAATTAATATTGATTATCTATATTGAAAACCAATTTCAAAGTTGTTAAATTTTAGTCAAAACAATATAAAAAATAAATTAAAAAAAAAAAACAAAAACTAACCTTAAACTTTAAAACCATCACAAGAAAAAAAAACAAAAATGTCTAGAAAAAAAACTATATAAAAATGTTAAATATTATTAAAAATTTTCTTATTTCAATTTGATTTTGTAAATTTTTTTGTTTATGTTGTTTTTGTAATTGTAAATTTATAGAAGATCAAGAGTTTAAGCTACAAATGATTGAGTCTTATAACACTGTACGACAAAAAGAGAAAACATTCGTTTGACACTAACCGTTTGATATCAGTCTGAAACTATAATATTAAAGAAGAAAAACTGTGTTTTCAGTTTTTCATTTCCTGATCCTGTGTCCTTTTTAAAGGAGTTCAAAGTTCGTATTTGTATTATTATACCCTACACCACTATAGTGGGGAGAGTATTATGAGTTTGTGCTGATGTTTGTAACGCCCAAAAATATTGGTTTTACACTCACCTTAAAGTGTACCAATTGGCTCAGAATCACTTTCTGAGTCGTCCTACCGTATGTCCGTCTGTGTGTCCATGTAAACCTTGTGCACACTATACCGGTGCCGTTTAAAAGTGTTTTAGCGGATCTTAGCATAAATAAGTCTCCTGGTCCTGATGGCATACCGGCACTGGTCTTGAAGCAGTGCTCTTCGACGCTAGCTCGTCTATTAGCTTATCATTTCAGCATCCTATACCATGCCGGGAAATTTTCTATATGCTGAAAGATTGCTAATGTCACGCCAATTCCTTAAAAGGGAGAGGCTAGTAACCCTGAAAATTATCGCCCTATTGCAATTTGTTCTGCACTTTCCAAAATTATGGAAAGAATGGTTAATTTCCATCTTGTCAAATATCTAGAGACCAACAATTTAGTTAGCGACCGCCAGTATGGCTTTCGTAGAGGTCGCTCTAAGAGAGACCTTCTGGCCTCCCTTTCGGATGAATGGTGTCATTCCATTTTGGCGAAAGTAAAGTGGTGGCTCTAGATATTTCCAAGGCGTTTGATAGAGTGTGGCATGGCACACTTGTATCAAAACTTATTGCATTTGGTGTCGGTTATAACTTCACTCGATTTATTTCGAACTTTCTCAGATATCGCACTATACGAGTTGTTATAGATGGGATCTCATCAAACGAGTTCAAGATTAATTCAGGGGTACCGTATGGCTGCGTTCTTTCTCCTAACCTATTTCTTATCTTCATAAATGACCTTCTATGTCAAACTTTCAACTCTATCTACTCTTTTGCCGATGACAGTAATATCTGCCATTCCTATTCATTCAATTATAGGCCAAGCCCTCTAAAGATTGGGACAATGAGGCGCAATATGAATGAATCGCTAAATCATGACTTGATAAAAATCTCTGAATGGGGTCGTGTTAACAGAGTCGATTTTAACGCCCGTAAGACTCAATATTGTTTTTTAACACATAAACGTATGGCAGATAATGTTGGTTCATCTATATTTATGGGTGGTGTTAATATTAAGGAATCAGAAACTCTTGATGTTCTGGGCATGAAAATACCCAGTGTCTCGGTTTTTTGAAACGGTGTAAGACATACTTCACTCCAACTGATCGTCTTACTATTTACACCACTTATATCCAACCGAAAATGGAATACAACTCCCATGTATGGACCGGAGCTTCGAAGTCTATTTTGGAGCTACTCGACGGCGTACAAGAGAGGGTGAAGGTACTTATCGGTGACAGTAGGATATCCAACTCTATTGATTCAGTGGAGCACCGTCGCAACGTGGGGTGTATTTCACTATTCTATTGATACTACAATGGAATGTGTTCCTCTTAAATTAGGGAACTCGTTTCCGATACCCGTATATTTTTACGCAGCACACGACTGTCATCAAGAATATACCCATTTGTGGGTCGATTGTCCAGTGTACCACACAACATATTACAGGGAAAATTCATTCTTCAGCCGCTCTGTTCGTATGTGGCACGAACTTTCTGCAGAAGTTTTCCCCGTCACTTTCGATGTGAAAAGGTTTAAATCAAATGTTCACAAACACTACTCCCTCTATACTCCCTCCCTTTCCTAGTTCCAGCACAATGCACTGCATGAGCAGGGGTCATCCCCTGAGTGCTGGTTCAAGAAAAAAGTCTCCCGCTCAGTAAATGACTTGATGGTCAAAATTCACTCATAAACACTAATATCACGATAATATTCTGCATAAATAACTGATGTACAAGTAAATCCCTCTGCCAAAATTTTTAAGGATAGAACCATATTAACCCAATTTTTAAAAATGTGCTCCTTTGAAGTCCTTTTACTGGAAACAGCATCACGAAATAAAAAAAAACTGTGAGCTTAGTTTTGCCTCATTTAATCTTCAGTTTAAGACCTATAACATCTGGTTCGTGTCTAATTTTGAGTGTCGAACGGTGTAATACAGTGAACAAAAATTTAATAGGAAAAAAGTTCCATTTTGGAATAGAGTAAAACAATCATGAGTTTTAATTAATAACTAAGACAAGGATGTTAAATTTCCATTTCAAATAAGTAAAAAAAAACTAGAAATTTCTGAGAAAGTGGAAAAAAAAATTGTAAAATAATGATTACCATGCGCTTGATCCTTGTGCATCACAAGATTATTTACGATTTTTAAAGAATTTTTTTCACTGTATATTTTTTTGTTTCTTTTTATTTTAAGTTAAAGTATGTTTATAATTTTTTATTAAAAAAATGTTATTGTTAATGTTTATACAAAAAATTAAATATAATACAAATATTAACTAAGATTAATAAAGAACAGACGAACATATTAAGTATAAATATATACAGACAAAATAAAATACAATTTCTTCAAAACCTTGTCCCTAATATAAAAAAATAACCAGGAAAATAACTGTTATGTAAATTATTTAAACTTATTATATTTTTAATGAGTACTTATATATTTAACAAACAAAAATGTAACTTTATCTAATTTATATTTATATATATATATAAAACAAACAATGAAATTTTAGTCGGTCTTTAGCGACTAGGTAAAACCCTATGACGTTTGCGAAATGAAGCTAAGAAATTGAAATCTGGCATTGAAAAACTTAAAAACTCATTGAGTAGGAGAAGTAAAAGCCAATAATTGAGTAGTTTTGAAAGATTTTGAAGCTTTCCACTGACAAACATGTGTAGCATGAAACATTTGACTGATGTTGGAATAATCTTCAATATACAAAGTATGCTGCTTGGGAACAGCAAAATGTTAGTCAGTTTATGATATATACTCAGTGGTTTTCAGAATATTCAAATAACTTTTGTCCGATCCTTTTACTATATATACAAAGATATTCTATTTTAAAAGCTGGTCTTTTAAACGACATTAACTAACACAAGGACTTGGAAAAAACAATCTATAGGGTTTTAATTTACTAACACAAACCGTAAATAAAAAAATAATAATAAACAAATTTATTTAAAAAAATGATAATTAAATACTTAAAAGCAAATACTAAAAAAAGTTTAACTTTAAACCCAGTGATTTCAAAAACAAAAAATTGGAAATTATACATATATCATGAGTTTTACTTTCTAACAAGAACAACTAATTAAATAATTTGTAACTAGTTTATAATTATAGCATTATTATTAAGTTCAAAATATAATTTACAACAGGATCTCAACTTATAATTTACAACGGATCTCAGTTCTAATCAACAGGATTACTAAAGTGTTGTTGCTCTTCTGCAAAATGTGTACAAAAATTTGAAAATTTCTACAAAATTTTATGCTTAAATCTAATACTTCCTGGCAAGCAACCGTTAAAATTGTTTATTGAGAACAAAAATTAATTGTTTTTTTTTTTTATTTGGTTTGTTAATATTATTTGTAGAAGACTTCCTGAAATAAAAAAAAAGTAATTATAATTTTATATAATTTAAAATACATATACATACATATATACATAAAAATAATAT